CTGTGTAGAAAGTACATGTAGCTGTTTCAAATGTTTCTGTACTTCTACCAGACTCTAAAATTGCTAGCTCCTTAAAAATAGATCTCCTAAGATCACCGATAAACCAATCCGTCGAACCATGTTCACGAGTCAAGTGTTTGCGTATTTCACTGGGCATTTTGTTGAGAATGACTGGTACTAATAACGAGCCGTACAAGTCTTGAGCTTGTTCGAGAGATTCTAGTCCACGTATGTCTGTTTCTGTCCTGTCTTAGTAACCTCTTAGATGTGTAAGCATATTCTTTGGTGTGGGTATGTCTAGTAGTGCTTGCATGTACGATTGAATTATCTTATGCTTTTGTTCGAATCTTTCATGTATAAGTCCAATAGCTTTGTTGTAGTTTGTGTGCGTTAGAGCAAATCCGGCAATGGTGTATGACGCTTCTCCTTTTAGTAAAGAATTTAGGTAGTTGAATTTTTGAACGACGGTTAGTGTGTTGTTGTTGTGAATTGCTGAATCAAATGAATCCCAAAAAAATTGCCATTCAAGTACGTTTCCATCAAATGTAGGTAAGTTCAATTTCGGTAGTTTAGTAAAGTTGCTGATATTAACACTTGAATTTGAACGTAAAGACGTGAAGTTGAGGCCAGTATTTTGAGAGTCATCTCTAACGTTATATGCGGGGCCAACATTTTGAATGGGTTGCAGTGTCTCACTGTGTGGCAAAAACTTCTAGCGGCTGCATTTAAATCAGATGTTTGAACGTGAATGAATTTACGAAGAATTTTGCGTATTCTCGTCTCTAAGTTAAATTTATAATCATCTGTGTCAAGTTTGCTTTTCCTTTAATGTATCAAGAATTGTTTCCAACTCGTCCTCTTCCGGTTTTTCTTCTGATTCACTCTTCTCGTATACTCTTCTTAAAATTATTGAAACTACGCTTCTGTGTCCCGCTCGAATAGATTTAAGCTTTGTAGTCATCTTCTTCTGGTCACAGTACCAATATCGTAAAGTGGTTTTACTAAAACTGCATTTGTAATAAGAAAGAGGTCTAAACTGTATGAATTTGTATTGATGATTGAAGTACAAGATAACGTCATAAGTTTACGACGTTGGATATACAAATTACAATAATGCCACGTTACGTTAACGTTCTCTTCTCTGCGTGATTTCCAACAATATCACTACTTATTGGAGCAGATTACTGGTCTTTAGTATGAGATGAAATTATTCAAGGTGACGGACCAACAGCGGAATCCAGCAGATTAACTCACTCGAGGACTGACTGCGGAACAGTTTTTCAGAACTCACTCTGGGTTAACGGACCCGAATGGCTAACGGATAAGGAAAAGGGCCGACATGAATGTAAACGCTCACAGATAGTACCGTATTATCATCATTCGTTGGGGTTCAAAGTTGCTGCTAAGGAAAAAAATATGTATACACCCTACATTCTTTCGGTAAGCCTCGCCAGCGCTGTACGGTAAAATTCGCCACCGGACATTGCTCAAATGAAAGGTAATAACTTGGGGAAGGCCACACTGAAATGCATTTTTGGGAGTTAGACCCATTCGGAAATTGTTGGGGTTCAAAGTTGCTGCTAATGAAAGAAATATGTATACACCCTACATTCTTTCGGTAAGCCTCGCCAGCGCTGTACGGTAAAGTTCGCAACCGGACATGGCTCAAATGAAAGGTAATAACTTGGGGAAGGCCACACTGAAATGAATTTTTGGGAATTAGGCCCATTCGGAAATTGTTGGGGTTCAAAGTTGCTGCTAAGGAAAAAAATATGTATACATCCTACATTCTTTCGGTAAGCCTCGCCAGCGCTGTACGGTAAAGTTCGCCACCGGACATGGCTCAAATGAAAGGTAATAACTTGGGGAAGGCCACACTGAAATGAATTTTTGGGAGTTAGACCCATTCGGAAATTGTTGGGGTTCAAAGTTGCTGCTAAGGAAAAAAATATGTATACATCCTACATTCTTTCGGTAAGCCTCGCCAGCGCTGTACGGTAAAGTTCGCCACCGGACATGGCTCAAATGAAAGGTAATAACTTGGGGAAGGCCACACTGAAATGAATTTTTGGGAGTTAGACCCATTCGGAAATTGTTGGGGTTCAAAGTTGCTGCTAAGGAAAAAAATATGTATACACCCTACATTCTTTCGGTAAGCCTCGCCAGCGCTGTACAGTAAAGTTCGCCACTGGACATGGCTCAAATGAAAGGTAATAACTTGGGGAAGGCCACACTGAAATGAATTTTTGGGAGTTAGGCCCATTTGGAAATTGTTGGGGTTCAAAGTTGCTGCTAAGGAATAAAATATGTATACACCCTACATTCTTTCGGTAAGCCTCGCCAGCGCTGTACGGTAAAATTCCCCACTGGACATGGCTCAAATCAAAGGAAATAACTTGGGGAAGGCCACACTGAAATGAATTTTTGGGAGTTAGACCCATTCGGAAATTGTTGGGGTTCAAAGTTGCTGCTAAGGAAAAAAATATGTATACACCCTACATTCTTTCGGTAAGCCTTGCCAGCGCTGTACGGTAAAGTTCGCCACCGGACATGGCTCAAATGAAAGGTAATAACTTGGGGAAGGCCACACTGAAATGAATTTTTGGGAGTTAGGCCCATTCGGAAATTGTTGGGGTTCAAAGTTGCTGCTAAGGAAAAAAATATGTATACACCCTACATTCTTTCGGTAAGCCTCGCCAGCGCTGTACGGTAAAGTTCGCCACTGGTTATGGCTCAAATGAAAGGTAATAACTTGGGGAAGGCCACACTGAAATGAATTTTTGGGAGTTAGGCCCATTCGGAAATTGTTGGGGTTCAAAGTTGCTGCTAAGGAATAAAATATGTATACACCCTACATTCTTTCGGTAAGCCTCGCCAGCGCTGTACGGTAAAATTCGCCACTGGACATGGCTCAAATGAAAGGTAATAACTTGGGGAAGGCCACACTGAAATGAATTTTTGGGAGTTAGACCCATTCGGAAATTGTTGGGGTTCAAAGTTGCTGCTAAGGAAAAAAATATGTATACACCCTACATTCTTTCGGTAAGCCTCGCCAGCGCTGTACGGTAAAGTTCGCCACCGGACATGGCTCAAATGAAAGGTAATAACTTGGGGAAGGCCACACTGAAATGAATTTTTGGGAGTTAGGCCCATTCGGAAATTGTTGGGGTTCAAAGTTGCTGCTAAGGAATAAAATATGTATACACCCTACATTCTTTCGGTAAGCCTCGCCAGCGCTGTACGGTAAAGTTCGCCACTGGACATGGCTCAAATGAAAGGTAATAACTTGGGGAAGGCCACACTGAAATGAATATTTGGGAGTTAGACCCATTCGGAAATTGTTGGGGTTCAAAGTTGCTGCTAAGGAATAAAATATGTATACACCCTACATTCTTTCGGTAAGCCTCGTCAGCGCTGTACGGTAAAGTTCGCCACCGGACATGGCTCAAATGAAAGGTAATAACTTGGGGAAGGCCACACTGAAATGAATTTTTGGGAGTTAGGCCCATTCGGAAATTGTTGGGGTTCAACGTTGCTGCTAAGGAAAAAAATATGTATACACCCTACATTCTTTCGGTAAGCCTCGCCAGCGCTGTACGGTAAAGTTCGCCACTGGACAGGTGGGGGCTTTCCATAAATATTTCTATTGATATTTTTTAAATGTTTCTAGCGTTAAGGTTATATTTCTATTGTTTTAAGAAATATTGTATATAAAATACATCTTTAATGTTGTTTTATTGATAAAAACTATATTTTACATAAAGACAATTATGCAACTTACATAAGGGATTATATTCGAGGACAACGAGAATTTACGACAGCTTGAAGGGGTCATAAAACGATTTCCTATGTATTTTACCACTCCTCTTAACTCTCAATTTTTTATGATTTTCAAATAAGTTTGAATATTGAACCGACTGCTCACAGCTAGTTGGATATAGAATATCGAACCGGCGGCTAACTGCACATATATTAGTTATGTAGAAACTAGATATTTCTATACACATTGACACCAATATGCCGGATCTAGAAATCAACCTAATGAGTGCTTCTAGTTACTGACGTCATTTGTGTTGGTTTGTTCAACGTTCACTTCTAAGGCTGAACATCTGTGGTCATTTAGACGTTAGAAAATAATACATATATCGTATTGGTAGCTAGAATCATTATGGTATTTAAAACGAAAAAATCCTTTGAGAATCACTTCAAGCCGTGAAATTGTCGAATTCCGCTCTCAAATTACATTTAACTTAGATTTTGAGATTTTTAGAACGTTCGAGTCTGTTATAGTTTTTGGGTTTTTAGACATATCGTCAAAATTGGCTGCTGGAAAAAAGTGGCTGCTATCTTGATTGGCTGCTAAAAGTGGCTGCCAGCTTGAGTCTAGTATAATGATGCCTTCATTCCAGTTTCCGAGGCAAGGACTATCAGTGGAATTCGACGAGACATCAAAAGCAAACACCCTTTGCACTGTTACGGGCTATAACATCACTCTAGTGAAACGTACTCTTTTGAGGATTATTTCGATCTTGTGTAAAAGTAAGGACTAGGTGCATGGCGCGAAAGATGTAAAAATATATTTCGTCTGAAATTTAGTCCAACAATGTTATATGTGCGGTATAAACTATTTGTCATTTCCTCAGCGGGGTTTGAACTCATTTTTCTGTGACATATCGATAATTCTTCCTGCAATGATTCGCAAGGACGACCGTTTGAGACAGGGGGAACGATTAATATTTGCCAGTTTTATTCTCAAGCTGTTCGTTCTATTAAAGGTCGGTTTCATAAATATTTTGTATTAACTATGTATTTTTTGCGATGAGGCAAATATATTCATACATTTAATCACATATTAAACGATTTGTGTATACTTATTTCACATACAAGTGCAGGTTTTTTTTTCATTTTCTAGATACCGTACATTCTATTATATGTAGCCTGGCATCCTTTTCGCATCAGACGAGCAGTGAGTCAGGATCCAAAGCTATATTATATATTACCTATCGTTGTGTCATGAACTGAAGGGTTTTGGGGTTGTGCATCGTAAGCCTTGAGGTTAGGTTCTCCATTTGTTTCAAACTTAATGATTACGTCAGTTATATCTACAAAGATAATGTATGTGTTACAAATCAAATTTAAAGTAGAAAACTTTTTATATATATATATCATGCACAATCATTAGACACTCTACTCTTAAGCAAGTGTTTAGTGCCGGACAGGAGAAGTCTAGAAATGACCATATTAATACTTTTCATGTATACTCTGGATTCAAGTTGACGATTAAATGTTCATTCCTCTGAAATAGAAAATGATTTGAAAATTTGCGGCAACAAAATGGCGAAGACGTTCATAGTGCAAGACTCTGGTCCATGTTTTTTAACTAATGATATTCCTAGACATGTATAGAGGTTCAAGCTTCGCTCTCACCCCATATGGAATTTACTGACCCCATATATATTGTATTAGGTCACTACCACACTATGTAACTAACAAAACATGCATGACAAATTTCTTGTCAGTTCAAAACGTATTTGTTTGAACAACGTCATGTCAATCTAAGTGAACATTTTCCCCTTTTGGAATCTAACATATTATTTCAGCTGTTATCCCCCAGACATTGCCATATGTTCAGATATAATCAATCTTTAAAATGCACATCTTCATTAATTTTCAGACAAGCAGCAAAGCAGATGTCGCGTGCACTGAAACGGGTATTATACGTTCATATTACTACATGTAACTATTATGATTTACAGTTGAGTCATCAAAGGTTTAATCTGCCCATAAGCCATGAATGCAATTTGTTTTGGTACCGGCATAATTTGAATAACTCATTTTAACTCTAATTCTTTAGTCTGAATTATGTTGTTGTGCTTAAAACTATTACTTCTGGCAAAGTGGATGAGACAATATTTATTTCTGTGTTGGTTTTTTTAGGAGGGGATAGATAAAATGCTCCTGAATGATTGAATGATTTTGGCTTTTGAAACTATATTCTTGAATGTCCTTGGTGAAGGTTCTTCCGAAAAAGAATGTGTCATGCAAACCGAAACCGGCAATGTATGTACGTTTATATATTTAACATGTTTGGTTCAAAAACTTGGTCCAGAGTCTTGCACTATGAACGTCTTCGTCATTTTGTTGCCGAAAATTTTCAAATCATTTTGTATTTCAGAGGAATGATATTTAATCGTCAATTTGAATCCAGAGTATAATTCCTTTGACAAGAATTTACATGAGGAGTATTAATATGATCATTTCTAGACTTCTCCTGTCCGGCACTAAACACTTGCTAGAGTAGAGCGTCTATTGTTAGTGCAGTATGTATAAATTCACAGCCATGTCAGATCGGAATGTAGACGTTTAATTCGATGCCCCATTAAAGCTTTTAGCCATTCACGTCAAATAACCCATGCAAAAAACTCTGAGGTCCTAGACAAAATGTCTAGCAACATATCTTCATTTTTCTGCGACAGTCCAAATTTCACACCTTTCTTCCTAGTCGACTCACCTTGCAGAATCAACCTATTATGTTATTGGTTAATTTGTTTTCCTCCACAATATGAATGAAATATTTGCAGCTGGACATTAAACAAGCAACAAAGAATCGATTTTTGTCGGTATTGATTCATTGCATTAAGAATGTCTACAAAGAATGCTTTCCTTACATTATTTCTTCAAAGTTATATTATAAAATCAGTAATGTTGTATGATTGCCAATGAGACAAGTTCGACAACTAACCACCAGAGACCAAATGACGTAGATGTTAGCAACTATAGGTTACCGTATAGCCTCCAACAATGAGCAAAACCCATACCACACAGCAAGCTTTAAATCGAGAAAACCAACGCTGTCTGTGATTCTTTCTTTTTTTTTTTGTAAAATGTTCCATGAGGTTGCAAAAATCCGAAGATTAATTCTGTTTATAAATGCAAGTGCATTTATGATCAAATACAATCAAAGAAAGACAAGTCAATTATTCTTGATTATGGTATCGCCGAGTGTGGCAGATTTTTGGATCAAGTGAAAATCGAAACATCATTTCTTCTTTTTTAAAATCTTCTTATTTAACAGTGGTCCTTAAAGAACGGAACTTTAAATGGTGCAACAGCTCATTCAAAGGGGTGGTACAGCGTTATTTTCGTGTGTTTTGTTGATCGATCAACTTATTTACAAATATCCTTTATTTGACGTTTACTCATGCACTAGAGATTCAACGTTAATTTTTCGGCCATCTTTAATCAAACAGATCATAATTAAAAGGTTGGAATGACAGAAATGCTTAAAAAATCATCAAATTATTGGAAATAAATGACAATGTACCAGAACACTATTTTGGTGGCTTGTTAAAGAATTGTTATTGATTTTCTTGAATATGATAAAAGATTGTCAGTTAAGAACTGAGAAAGAGAAGTCACAAAACTGTTTTTAACACTAAAGACTTCTGTTTCGTGCAAAGATCGTAAAATTCATTTGTAGTTTACGTTTAAATTACGTGCACGTACCATCCTCTTTAAAGCGGTAGGTATGCATGTGTGCTCTGTATAAGCATCCTTTTGAAGAGCACTACCATGATATATGATTTTAAGGAAAATATGTATATTTCCAACTATGTACTGGCTTCCGAAGCTGCATAAAACTCCATACAAATATAGATTTATTTCGTCTTCAAGCCATTGTTCCGCTACTAAACTATCTATTCTACTTACTAGTACACTTGGTACAATCAAAAACCTGGTAATAAATTGTTCAAATAAGGCCTTTGAAAATAGTGGAATTAATTACTTTTGGAGTGTCAAAAATTCGTTGGAAGTACTTGATAAGTTGCATGCTTATATTGGTGATTTCGAATCTGTTCAAAGTTTTGATTTTTCTACCCTATATACCACGTTGCCTCATAATCTTATTAAGAAAAAAATCACACACCTGATTAAATGGGCATTTAAAAAGTCGGAATGCGAATATATATGTTCAAACTCTTATAGGTCATTTTTTAGTAACAACAAACAAAAGAACTATGTCAATTGGACCTGCTTTGATACTATAACTGCCCTTGAGTTTTTACTAGATAACATTTTTGTTCGCTATGGAGATTCCGTATATCGTCAGGTTATCGGAATTCCCATGGGGACTAACTGTGCACCACTTATTGCGGACCTGTTTCTGTATTGTTATAAGTTACAATTTATGACTAAAATCAGCAAAGACCCATCGAAACAACACCTGATTCAAAAATTTAATAACACTTTTAGATATTTAGATGATATATTGACTCTCAATAATGACGACTTCAGTGTGTACACTAAAGAGATTTATCCTGCCGAACTGACTTTAAATAAAGCTAATACTAACAAAGAACACTGCCCTTTCCTGGATCTTGATATCTTTATCTTTAACGGGAAGCTTAATACCAAAATTTATGATAAAAGAGATGATTTTTCATTTCCTATTGTTAATTATCCATTTTTAGATGGTGACGTTCCCTTGTCGCAATCTTCTGGTGTTTATATATCTCAACTTGTTCGATTCGCTCGTGTATGTAACAACGTATTTGATTTCAACGAAAGAAATCTCTGTATTACTGAAAAATTATTACACCAGGGTTTTCGATATCACAAACTAGTCAAAACATTTACTAAATTTTATCATCGGTACAGGGACATCATTCGTAAATATAAACCAACATGCAGACATCTTATACGTTCAGGTATTTCACATCCAATATTTTATGGTAATATTCTTTACAAGGCACAAAAATGTCGGCATTCACCTCAAAAGCTTACCAAACCTTTAAACAGACTTATTCGGAAAGGATATAGTTACGATACTGTTGTCAAGTCATTAAGGATTACATATTTTGGTATTAATATTGATTCACTCATAGGGTCTTTGCATCGGAAATAAACACATTTATTCTAAAACAAGTTGTTGGCATGATACGGGTTATGTTCTTCTCATATATTTTATGATGGTATGATACTAAACCCCTAACGGGAGGGATTGTACTTGATTTTCATATGATGAAGACATAATCTTTTAATCAGTTTAATTGAGGTCTGGAGCTGGCATGTCAGTAACTGCTAGTAGTCCTTTGTTCATTTATGTATCATTGTCATTTTGCTTAGTTTCTTTTGTTACCTATTCTGACATCGGACTCGGACTTCTTTTAAACTGAGTTTTACTGTGCGTATTGCTATGTGCTTCTGTATTCTACATTGGCTAGAGGTATAGGGAGAGGGTTGAGATCTCACAAAACATGTTTAACCCCGACGCATTTTTGCGCCTGTCCCAAGTCAGGAGCCTCTGGCCTTTGTTAGTCTAGTATATTTTTTAATTTTAGTTCATTAATATGTTTTGGAGTTTAGTGTGACGTCCATTTTCACTGAACTAACACACAATTTTATTTAGGGGCCAGCTGAGGACCACCTCCGGGTGCGGGATTTTCTCGCTGCATTGAAGACCCATTGGTGGCCTTCGGCTGTTGTCTGCTCTTTGGTCGGGTTGTTGTCTATTTGACATATTCCCCATTTCCATTCTCAATTTTATTAGTAGACTGTTTACACACAGATTAATTTGATAATTTACCTACCCAATTCCCAAACCTGGTTGTGACGGGTCATGTACTACAAGAAAGTCAATGTTCCCTAATTACCAATAAAGACAATGAAATAAAACACCGAACACTCACTCGCTGATCCTCAAAATATAAAAAAAAAATGTGAAGTATAATAAATAAATTATATACATGGTTGCACAAATGTTGCAAAAATGCCATAGCAATAAACGGGAAACCAATAAGGACAAAATTGGAATCTTAACAGACACCGCTAAATGCCGAAATGGACATTTTTTTTGGCGTAAACGGATTTCTCTCAAAATTTCCCCCCAAAAATGACAATTTAAAGATTTTTACGTGTGAGTGAAACAAACATGGGGAGAAATTGGCTCTATCCCTTAAACAAGAAAATATGCTATTATCAAAAGGTTATCATATAATGAATTTAAAACTTGAACAAGAAAACAAAAGGACCCGAGGAGTCTGCTAGCAAAACTATGCAATATGGAAATCATTAGCAACAGTGGCAGTTATGTATCTTGCACATACTATCCAAAATTGAGACCAGGTTGATTATTGTTAAGTTAGCCCTCCATATTTGAATTGGGTCAAATCAACTGATAATTGTAAGAAATGTTTCGTCGATGTGTTAGCAGAAACTTTATCTGGTGCAACACTAAACTATTGGTAAGTTTAATATAAATATAAACGTTTATTCGCTCATATCAAAATCAATAACACGGGACTCACCCAATGACAAATGTGTTTAAAAGATTACCAGTGAATGCTGTGAACAATACGGCTTAATTAATATCTGCATGATCTTTATTTAAATTACATATGCATGAATTCGCTTTTTGTAATTTTTTTTTTTTGCAGCAAACAATCTTGCATCTGATCAATCGTGATATCAATGTCAGTAAAGTGAACATCTGTTCATGCAAGCGTTTTAAGTTTCTGTTGTCGTTTATGGTACGCCGTTCGCGTCAAAAGAAAGTATGCATAAGCAATAGGCGCACAAGGTAGTTTGAAATATGAACAACAACGACAAGAATATGTTATTGTTTGCCAACATATAGTTTATATCACACTATTCAAATGTATGATAACAAGTATATGTCGCCGAGAGTGTTTTCAATTTTCAGTTAGAACAAAACTTTCTTATTTCAAGATTATAAAGGAAAACCAAAGAGTTTTCAAATATGTGAGCTGAACAAAATAACACGATAGAATTTTAAAATACATGTAGTCAAATTTTGAGAAGATAATTTTCAATAAATGCTTCAGAAAAATAAAAATAAAAGTGATGGTCACCAAGGTATGTTTTCTTGCTACACAATCCTTGATAACAAAAGTTATATATTCACTGACATTACAATTCATTATAGATTTTAAAAATCATGAGTTGCACATACCTTCCCCTTATATATCCATCCCTTTTATCAAATAAAAAGTCTCTCTCTATTTGTTAATACATTTAGTCACCCAACTACCTTAAATGTACACAACTACATGCATCTATTTTGCACTGTTTTGTTTTACTTCTTTTATTTTAATCGAAAACATACAATGACATTCAGCAGATTCGATTTCAAATACAGATGTATTTGAAGATACGCAGCTAGTTTGCATAACTAGATTTAGAAACAAAAGTACAGAAGTTTAAAATGTCTCAGGGTGGATTCAGGTGGCGTAGATTGAAAATTTTTCATTTTGTTAAAATATAATCGTCTAGAAAATGTTTTGCCTCGCTACGTTCAACAGTATTTATTCCCATATAAAGAATTACGCCCGGCCTCTTTTAAAAATCCTGGATCCGCCCCTGTGTCCGCTGAGACTTTTGAAGTATATATTTTTTTTAATTTTGAATGCTTCATCGTGACATCAATTTATCTTCAGGCATCCGTGATTAACAGAGGCATATACACCATAAACAAGGTTACACCAGACTACGCAGAAATAACAACAAAAGGTATACCTTACGGCTTCGATAACAGAACAGGTTGGTTTTAACGGTCAACACTAAGTCAAAAGCAATATATATATATTGGTTTTAAAAAAGACGCAAAACAGGAAAAGACTTGAAAAAAGAAGAAAGTTCAACTGTTAACAGGCGCGTAGCTGCCTTTACGCAAAAAATCATTTGCTTGCACATTTTTTTCACAAAAAAAATAAATTCTGAAATTGAATTACGGATAGTCTTTAGTCTTTACAGATTATCGTGTCGGGCGGTGTTTAAAGCCCAAATCTCTGATGTCGTCTGTAACAGTGACTAATAAGGAACTATATATCCTTCAATATTCGCAATCTTCTCAATTCTAGTTACAATGCCAGTAACTACATCAACTACTGAACGGTCATTTAGTGCATTAAGGCGACCGAAAACTTATCTCCGTTCAACCATGGTACAGGACAGACTATCTTCGTTGGCGCTCATACCTGTTTCACCGAGAGAGTTCTGCGATCATTTGCCTTGGCAAAAAATAGATATATGGACTTTCGATATTAACTATACTTTAAGTCTTACATGCAGTATTAACATTTAATAATACAGGCTCAATACAATCACCTTGAAAACATCTTAGATTTATATCCCTTACTTATAAGTCAAGACTTAAAAGTGGCCGTTAGATTTCGTATTCCCATTGTCCGTTCGTCCAAAAGACTATTGATTCACCTGGGGTATCTGTGTCCCAAATGACCTTCTACCGTTGTCGTAGAAACCTCTCCTTTGATTTGAGAATGACCTTCGTGAGACACACTACGGGTGTCTTGCAAGAAGCAGGAACTGCTTACCCTTTTGGAGCACCGGAGGTCGCAACATTGTTTTCTGGGTCCGTGTTTTTCATCTGTATTTAGTTTTCAATGTTGAATGATTTTGTTTCTCCTTTTGTGTCTTATCTGTTCCCGGGTTTGTCAATTGTCCATTGATTAACGCTTCGGTTGTCGACTCTTCCTGATCTTCCCGTTTTATCAAATTTATTTTATATTTGAAAATAACCATGTTAATAATATAAGCAGCAAATTACGGAACTCACTAGACTTTTACTATCGTTTCATGAAAATATGGTATAGTAAGAAACAGATAGGGTATTTTTCATGTTCAAAGCAGTCACTGTAATTACTCATATGCCCGGAGCTTCATGGGGATTCGCTTCCCTGGACCACCGTCTACGGTGCTGCCCTGGATCCCCGACTAGGGTGCTACCCTGGACCAGCTGGGGACTTTGAGCGGTCCATAGCCTCCTCCCTTGCCGAATCACTATAAAGTCCACAAGTATTCACAAAATAGGAGTTTGGGCGTGAATGTGATGTGAATTTCATAAGCATGGCATACCGGGAAAATGCACGAAAAAAGTTATCATTTTCTGCATAAAATGGTCCAAATAAAATTTTCGCCTCGCTTCGCTCGGCGATAGTTATAATTGCACTTTATGTAAGTCCAGCTACGCCCCTGGTTAACAGCATAAACGTCATTATTCTGCAATACAGAATAACTAATAGAGTTTTCAGATAGATTTGCCGACGGAAGCACGCATGCATGTTGCTGGAATAACGTTCATTTTGTGAATTCGAGACCAAAACTTGGGAGGCCCCCTTTCGTAAAATTTAAACATTCAAAGTGATATAAACATAAAACTATAACCGTGTAAGATAGCACTTTGCTTCTGAGAATGCAACCGTGGTTCAACTATCGACAGGATATCACTGTAAAAAAATGTATGTTAGTATGTTATTTTTCTTACTGACAAAACCATTGTAGATTTTTTTGAACATATTATTATATCGCAACTATTCTCATTATTTGTATGCCTATGATTTTTTTCTAAGGGGTTATAAACATGTAAACGATTTAACACTGAATCCATTCTTTGGAGTCAGATCATACTACAGACTTTTTACATTTAGTGTAGTTTGTTGTGAAGTCATATACAAATATGTCTGTAACATCGAATTTAGTACTTACCAATTGTTTAAGAGATGAATAAATTATTTACTTGAATTTGATGGAAAAGAATCAATTCTTGAAACAAATACATGCACACTCTAAAAATAAAACCCACAGTAAATGAACAACACGTTTACTGACTGCTGTTCTTCTGAGACTTCATTAAGGATACTCTAACACGGAGCAAAATCTCATACGTAACTACATGTATAAGTTCAAGGCGGCTTTTAGTATCGGTTTGAGCGGATTGGTTTTGCAAGAATTCGGAAAGTAAGAACTGCACATTAAAGTGCACATATATTGGATAATATCAACAAATTTCAAACTGCTTGGAAAATCCGAACTCTGCATTGAAGCGTGCATGTGTGGGGTAATGTATCAACAAATTACAAACTGGCAGAGAAATATAATAACAAATACTATCATAATTTTCTCGACTATCGCAATGTAAAATACAGAAACAAGATAATTTATTTATTTAGACTACCCGGTGGCACATCGTAATTTTTTAGATAACCTGGCAGGAATTAATGTAGGAACATGGGAAATAATTCGAATAAACTGCATAATAATTTTGATAGATATATTCAAGCCAAGAAGGACACATGCATTGTTATACATAAGATACGTTATCGCTAAATGTGAGCATATACCTACAACAAGTGTAAACTCCATACAGACTACACATGGCACGCCATACAAACTGTCTCGATGCAAAGGAAACGAAGGGATGTTGTCTATTAATTTCTGACACCAATCCCTAAACGCACTAGACAAAACCCAAAGCAGGACCAACTATTTTATTGCTGCTTTTCATTGCACAGCTACCCTTAGCACGCAGCAAAATTACATACCATAACGAACAAGTATAAATTATCACATTAAATCTTAAGTTATATCATTTAATTATAATTTCTAAAATAGTAAAAGAAAGGTGGATGCTACCAAAGGGATATTCAATCTCATATAAGTCGAAGACAAACTGACAAAGTCAGGACGAAAAACGACATAAAAAACAAACAGCAGTCTAGAAAACACAGCATAGAAAACTAACAAGTCTCATTTCGTTTCATTCCTTTCAGCGGATTTTAATTTATTTTGTATCTTATCGTTTATTCTTCATCTTTCTATTTCTATTTTATCAAGGAAAATGGGGCATATGGAATTTGTCATTATTTTTAGACGGAGCAGAATTTAAAGCCCGACAATCAGAAGTATTTATGAATACTCCTATAACTGACATGTATAAATCATCGACGTTCATCATGCTAAAGATGATTCTTAATTATATTAACCCAAAGGTATACCAGTTCGACTTCCTTGATCCAATAAATCTGACAATTACAAAAGAACTGTGCAAACCAGGTACCAGTACACACAGCACAGTTACAAAACTTATAAACACTGATACGGGAGAACTTATGGTAGAAAGGCTGGCAAAACTTTGTAGGGTTGACAATGAAACACATCGACCAGTGAAATGGTCTCCGCAATTTCACCAAATGTTTTCACATTTGAAAGATCGAGAAATGCCCGAAGTATTGAAGAAAACTAGTGCTCCAATTCCAAAACCACCGCTTGATTGTTTCAAATGGAATTTAAAGTCCCGATATAGTGATATGGATGTAAAAATGCATGCTAACCAATCAATGTACATCAAATCTTGTATAGACTGTGCTACTGACGCCTCCTTGAATGGTCAACTCGATCAATTTAACGGCGATATTATTTGGTATCCAGTGAAATATCTGAGTATAAATTATATAGCAGAAACTTTTGTCAATGATGAACTAACTGTCAACATGTGGCAAAATGACAAAGACGTTTCAGTATTATACTTTTCAGTCTGCAGTGATGCTTTAAAAAAGATAGTAACATTTATTGAGATGAAATTTGATTTGGACAAAATAAAATAATCCCAGCTTGATAACTTAACTAATTCTTATATTTTCGTCTTCATGCAAATTTAATTTATTTTAATTGCATGTGAATCTTCTGATTTACTTCTGATTTGCTTAAAAATAAATTATCACTGAAGAAAAGCATATTTTCGTGAAACCCCATGTACATGTATACATAATCAGGACCTTCTGCACAATATAATTCAATTATAAAACTTAATTCTAAACTTTCTTCGACAGTGTCAGTTGCACTTGAGCCAAAAATAAAATGTTATGACCAGTCTGAATTTTACTGAATGAGTCTTACTTGAGTCACATTGACTGTTCTTTGCCAATTCCAATGAAAAGTACGTGCTTTGTCAAGTAAAGTTTATTGTAAAATACTGCCTGAATAATGGTTAAGCTGGTAAGAGGACAGCTGTATACCAATAGTAAAGACAGATAACATTGCAGCTATGATTAGATACTGCATTTTTGTGAACCGATTATCCATTTAACCTGGTTTTCTCTTCTAGTGAAGCTGTCTACTCTTGGTTATAAATTAAATCACCACACGCCCATCGGGTGTCAATTGTGGTTTTGTGGCTGTAAAGTTTGAACAATATGAACTCTGACTTGCACGTTTTAAATTTTCTATTGAGGTCATTTTTTCCCCTCGAAATTGAAAAGAGGTTTACATGAGTAAAAAAAGAGGGAATACTTCAAATCTTAGTATATTGGATCATCTCAATGGAGTGATTCCTTGACAGGTTTTTATCTATTATCGGACCACTCTGCGGACAGCCTCTTATGAAGGTCTGATGGTGTACCTAAACCAGAGTCTGGAAAAAGAGTTTTAGTGCAACATCTATATGTAAATGATCCGGCTATGACAAATAAGCAGTTGTGCCAAGAGCGCATGAAACCATCTTATGTGCATATTGAAATTGAAAAATAAAATGGGATATTTAGAAAGCATTTAATCAGAAACAAATTAAAGGCTTTTAGTAAAAACATGCATGAGGATACTCTTAGGCATATAGGAGTATTGTGTCAATTATGACTGTTTAAAGTCCTATAACTCTGGTATGACAAACCAGAAATTTTTCAAAATTCACTAATCCCAATAACAGTGTTAAGTTTGTAGTAATTTGATCCAAGCATACTATAGCTAGTGCATATCATTTAAAAAATCATTTTATTTATCTGACACTCAAAGTTCCATAACTCTGGAATGACGGAATTCTTTTGTAAATCTAACGATGTGTTATAAATGTTCACCAATTCAATTTTATATAAAGTTGTCAATAAATCAATCCAAACAAACTCAAGTTATGGTACAACAGGTGAAAAAATTACTTAAATCTGACAACTCAAGGCCAGAAAATTAAATAAATCGAAAGGGGAGCTTCTTTTTATCAATAGGAACAATAGCGTACAGTTCTGAGGAAACTGGATTTGGTGCGCGATTTGTGAAAAACTGTCTTTATTCAAACTTTTAAAGTATCGTAACTCTTGAATGAAAAAGGAAAAGCATTTTCAAAATCTTCCGTCAATCCTAATGTTGTAAAAAAATAACATGAGAATTGGTTAATGCAATTTTGAGTTTTCATACGTAAGTTGACGAACGGATGGTATATCATAATACATCCCGTCTTCGACAGCGTATACAAATCGGGGAGTAAATACCACATGTATGTATTACCAGTTGCAATTCACGTTTTTATTCCCCAAATTTTAGCATTGTTTTAACTGAATAGCTTAAGCCAACTCAATAAGGATTTAGCTTCCTGCGTCAATATGTGGCCCAAGGGTGACTTTGGAATGGAAATATGGTCAATTTGGTCTTCTTCCGATCGGTAGTAGAACCCTAGCCAAAAGTGGTGCGTTCGTATGGCTGTGCGAGATGTACAAGTACACAGACACGTCCGGTCAGAATGTGGACGTTTAATCCGATGCCTTATGTAAAGAGAATGCCACGTTCTCTGCACGGTAAGGACCCTTGCAACAACTATTTGAGGGGTCCGGATGTGGCCTGTTGCAAGGTCAAATTTCTGTCCCTATCCAATATACCCTCATTTTCCAGTGGCAGTCCAATTTCCCCGACATTCATCCCGGACGGCCTCTATTACAAGACCCACTTATTGTATTTATTGTAAGCAACCAACAAACAATCAATCAATCAATCAATCAATCACTATATGTCTGTACTTAAGACTTGTAACTGTACTAAATCTAATGTTGTAACTCAGTTGGATAAAGTCGTAGTCAAATGATTTTGGTCATTCTGTTCAGTACCTATAGTTTTTAAGCTTTTACTGGTTTTGTGCATTTGGCTTCTTAACCTTTGATCATTGGTAAACCCGATGAAGGGTATTCCAAAAACACGCTATATGCACTGAAATCGGTTTCGTATGATTGTATATTTAAATACACACCATTACAGTAGTTCCCGTAAACCTTTAACGCCATAAGAGAACATGTCTGACAGCAATGCAGCAGTGATTGTTGTATGGCGTCACTAGTTCAAGTGTCGCAAATTTCGAGTCAAGTGTCGCAGATTCCGAATTAGCGATAAGATCTATTGACTTTGGGTCAAATGAAAAATACAATAATAATAATTATAAATTCGGTGCGTCCGAACATGTAACTGATTGAATATGTAACGATCTCTATGACCAAGGGAACTTTAAAAGAATATCAGAATTCGCGTAAGATCCATACTAGTGAATAAAACTATTTTAATATTTATTCAAGTATATGATTTAGGCGTAACATCACAACATAAGAACGAACTATCAAAATCATTTGGAAAAGGATTGACCCATCAGCTCAAAACTAATCACACAAAATAGCTTAACAAAAAGACAAAAAAAGACATTAAAGGCCAATGCAAAATGATAGTCGACTTTATCATTGCAAAAAAAGTCTAGATTAAGCAACAGAACCCATCCAAAAACTGGGGTTGAGCTCAGATGCTCCGAAAGGGTAAAGAACTTTTTTAGGAGGGTGATATCACACGACAGTATAATTAAAAACAATAACTCTAATTGGGCTGTCATTTAAAATTACAGATTCTTTTCACATCAATGTTATATAGATAATGAGATAATGTAACTATGTACTAATACTATAGATGTTTAAGACTTCTTACCGTTTGGATTTGGTATATTAGCTTTTGCAGCTGCTATATAGTGTGGGTTGCTTTGACCTATAGGAAAGTCACAAACTGAATAAACATAAACAGTAGACAAACATACAACAAATTAACAAAACAAAAAAAACACTTAAAAGTTTCTTGCAAACTAAGAATCAATGTACTGATAAAACAAACAAAAAATTAAAAATATACTTCTACATGTAAAGTTTTTTAAAAGGATCAAATTTACTTGTCCATCAATACGATTACTATCTTTTCTGAAAATGACAGAAAAAGATTAAAGTTGTGAATGCAAAGAAACTTTCTTTAGCCATTGACAAATGCGAAAGCATTTTATAGGACTTGCACAAACGGAAATATTTGGGGACCCAAGTATATCTCATGACTAACGTTTTATATAAGGAAAGTTACCTTTTTTGACGTTTCGATAGCATCTGTCATCGGTTAAAATTGTTTCTTTGTTTACTGAAGGTTGGTAAAATTAAACAGTTTTCGCCATACACATTTTAAATATTTGCTTCAACAAAGCTTTACAGGTATTTTATTTTGCTTACGTAACATGGGATATAACTGGTACATATATAAAGATATGGATTATATTGAACTTACTAGCTGACATTTCAGTGACTAATGAGGAATATCTGAAAATAAAATTGTATAAAAGCATGTACAATGTATAATGGTATGCTAATGTAGCAAAAAAAGTATATTTATAAAATTTATATTCATGTATTCTTAATTGAGTCTGGTTACGTACCGTATTAATATTGAGCGTAACTACAAATTCAGTGTATAGTCAAGCTAAAATACACTCCGTGGAGTAGTTTCCATTGAGGCAGTGAAGCAACTGCCTCAACAATTTTTTTATTATTAAAATAAATGTAGAAGTATTATTTATATAAACAGAAATAAAATGTATACCTTATTATATAATGAAGATGATTCCAACATTTGACTTTTCTACCCTTTACCCATGTATTCATCATTATTAAGACTTAATTATTCCAACTTTGAATTTTGTATCATGAATGAATGATCGAGGTAGATACAGTAACACATTTTTTGTTTTAAAAGCGGACAAATGATATGTTATAAAAAAAAACTGGTTCAAACAAAAGGTCAGAGCTGAATGTGAAATTGACATGATGCTTGATTTAGTTTTTCATTTACAACATATTTGTTACGTTTGGTGGACATGGTTTTCCACTGACACTGGACATTCTCGTGGGAACCAACTGTGTTCCTTTTCTGTGATGTATCTATATCCATATAAAGACAACTTAATAGTTCATCCAATTATAGTAAATATATATCCATGGATCTTGGCAATCCTTCCCTAACGTATAAAATTACAGGACATATCAGTTGATATTTTGAACTTTTATATATCCGAATCTGTTCAAAATCATTTGTGAGGTGATCATGATTATTTCAGTTATTTTTTGTTTGTTTTGATCAGGACGTGTCTTGGTTTAGTTATCGATAATTGAAATTTTAACCAGCAGTTTCATTCAAATCTGCTTATTTAATGGGCATGGGAAAGTACTATTACTTCATGAATAAAAATATTCCCAAATCTAATTTGTTCATAGACAAAAACTCGGTGCCAGTGTGTAGTTGCTTATGAGCGCCCCTCAAAAAAAGACAACACCTGGGGAGTGTCAGCGCTTGCAAATGAGTTTAACCCCGCCATATTCTGTATGTGCCCGCGTTTCAATTGTTGTCCTTGGTTGCTGCCTGCTATATTTGGTTTTTGTTTATAGTTTTTAGTATTAATCAGGTTTTCTCGTTTGAATTATTTTGCATTTTGTCATGTCGGAACCTGTTAAATCTTACTGTACGGTAAGTTAAGTGTTCCTCAACTTTCTTTTTCCAAACTGCGACACACAAAAAAGTTACTACCCCTAAAAATTCCCCCCCCCCAAAAAAAACATAATAAAAAACAGAGAGGTATCGGAGACTATTCTTGGGGTATTTAAGACATTTTATAGTTCCCTCTTTTATTGTATATTATAAAAAAAGATGTGGTATGAGTGCCAATGAGACAACTCTCCATCCAAGTAACTTGACAAAGTGGAGATTTACAGTACGTGTAATTCTGTATTTCTAGACCAATAACTATCATAATTCTGACTTGTAATAGACATTTTCCAGACAAAATATTGTGGTAAAAAACTTAACAATTCAGTCCATCCAACTGGCTGTGCTTTAGCCTTTTGATTTTTATATATTTGTAAAAATGTAGTGTTCAAATAGTAGTTTTGTAAGTACATACCATAGACGTCTTCGCTGTGTTTTTACACTAGATTTTAAGGTTCATATGTAGGAAGTTTAATTTAGAATTTCCGTTTAATAAAGTGTTTTCGTAAAATCTATTTATATAGATCACCTTTAAACTATTTCTACTTGGTTATTGGTCATAGTCATACTGCATATTTTAAAAAACCAGGATGCATATCAAAATGAATAGTTTATATGGATACATGTATATATATTAAAGTGTTTTTCAAACGCCCGAATGGTTTTTTTATTATTAGGATAATGATATCATTTCTTCCACATAGGAACTCCATGTTTTGTTCAACACATTTTAAATATAATATTAACATATTTCAGTTTATGTATAAAAAAGGAAGATGTTGGGTAAACGTAAAATTGATAGTTTAATACCCACAACCAAATTAACCCTAAAACATGTCAAGGCCAACATGCTGATCTCGATGATAGTCCCTCGTCTTTATCATATGTTTATATACGCATATCAACTAAAAATATAAATTTCTGAGATACATTTGAAAATTGGCCTATTGGATTATAAAGTTGATCTACCGAACAAATTTTATAGAGAAATTGATCTGATATTAAAAGCAGCAGATTTTAATCAAATTTGATATTACATAGAGCGAAATAACGATTTCTGGCGCATCGCTGTATATTTTTTTATATAGATATTCTAGAAATGTGATAGGTAAATCAACAAGCTACTAGGTAGTAAACTGTATCAGAAGAAAATTGCTGATCACCGTGAACCTATAGTCTATATCAAATTTTTACTGTTTTTTTTATTCTTCTGTTAAGGGGAAGGATTTATAACCCACTGAAATAACGAGTATTCTGTCAAGGACTCTGTCTTTAATCATTTCTAATCATCTTTGATAAAATTGCATGTATTTAGGCATATCGGAAAAAGGAGCATATTTTTGCTGATGTTAAGCGAAAATTTTTGATATCTAATTGCTAAGGCCACACCAATTTGATTTGTAGTTCTTCGGACAAAAGCTCCAAAAAATATGGGGCGGGCGAGCGAAATTTTTTTAATTGTATTTTTTTCTTGAAAATGAGTTTTTATGAGGCGGGTGCTCTGCAGGTGAAGCGAGCGGTATTTTTTTTTTAAGTTGTGCGATTTAGAATTTATGTACATGCTAAAACTGGGTTACTTCATAGAAAAAGGAGAAGAAACATGCTCTAATGCATATAATTTGATGAATTGGTGCATGAACCATACCCAACTTTCTTGTCTCGCTGTGGTTTAGTTAATTTCTATTATTTTCGTCAAATAAGCTTTGTCTGCGTGAATTTGCATTAAAATTCATGCATGTGTATATATTAAGGAAGCATAGCAGATGCAGTTTAACAAGAGGAATTATGTTAGTTAGTAAATGACATATGTTGAATAAATTTAAATATGTGTATGTATCTAAAAAAATGCCCCTGGAAAATATTTAATATTTTTGATATATAGTTGTTTTCATTATATCAATATATGGTAATGATTGTTTATTGGCTGCTTGATGTCCACTTGGAACTATTTATCCATACCTACTAATGATCAACATAATGAGTGAGGTGAATATTTCAACAACATTATGAGTAAGATAGTTATATTGTTATGCATGTAAATCTCAATGTATTAAAATATTCCCTTAAAATACATATACCTGTCACCACATTCACATACATTATTCTGACAGCAAAATACTCTTTTATTTTGCTCCTAAAGGCTGCAATGCATTTTAAACTCTTTAGCTTGACTAGAAGTGGTTGAACCAATTACACATCCCTAATTATTATGAGCATTTTTCCCTTACAAAAGAGTTCTGCTTGCATACCAATAGACTAACAAGGACATATGGCCATGGGGTTTCATCAAAATAAGATAAATCTGTGATTTTTTCTAAAATTCATGGAAATTCAATATTATTTTCATCAAAGATAGATAGATCTATAAAATAACAAGCATTGTAGATAAATTTGTACATAATAGCAGCCGGTGTTTCAAAATTCCACGTAGCAAATCTGAACAACATAGAGTCAATATAAACAGTCATTCTTTGTAAGAACAATGTTTTATTGGAATAGACTACCAAACAATCTCGTGTGTGCCAAGACAATTGATAGCTGTAAAACTTCGGTTGCTCTCACATCGTGGGACTAATTTTCCATCGCCTTTTTTCCGTTGCCATTGATGCCATATCATGGCCTTGCAACGTACTTATTCAGATTCAGGTCTATGTCTGTTGAAACAATGATTGGGGATGACGATGGTTCTAATGAACATTGATATAATCGTGCATGGTCATCTAAAGACAGATTTTTAATATTTGTCTCCTAGAACAGGTCTTCATAGATAAAACGAGATGCATTTCGGATAACTGTGTGTTCAGTAACTACCTCTCCACGGCAATGAGCTGACACAGCTGCATGTTGGCATCCCGATTTTTGACCTTTTATTTGCAATTTGATTTATCACACGTGCGTTTGAATCGATCGGAGCAATAAAAACGTCTATGTGAAAAAAAAAATTCAAAGAGAAACTAAATTTGGAGCGGCATGCGGCCCACAAATTTGCGGAAGCGGTAATTATTTTTTTTTATTGAAAAGTCAATTTCTCCAAAACTGGAGCGGGAAAATCCAAAGAACTATATATCAAATTGGTGTGGCCTAATGTTGCCAAAATACCCCTAAAATATTAAAAATTAGGTAAAAATTCAAAGGCTATACATTTTTCTTCTTAGTACCGTCGATTTGAATATTCTGTACACGGTTCACATAAAACACATAACAGCAATGATAAAATCTTAATTTCAGCATTTTTATAGTCTATTTTCATAAAATTTTGTTTCGCTTATGCAACTGTTTTCATATATTCGTGACAAAAAACACATAAATTGGACACAGATATCAAATCATTAGCTTTAAGTCTGTAATAGGTCTAAATCGAACTTTATTAATGAAACACTTCGTTTTAAACACAGCCAAACAGTCAAAATGTGCTAGTCGATGCCCCCAAGTCTGTAACAAGTAACGTTTTCTGCAAATGGGGGTACCTGTAAAGAAAGTCATTTTAAATGATGAACAATTGTATCTTTAATCCAAAAATTTGAACATAAGCAGTAGGGGTATATAGTAATCGACTAATGCAAAGGTTGTCCTATTTTATTTCAGTATATGTCAGTATAGGTTAAAAGGAAGTAATTAAAGATGAATGGCGCCACCTAGTTTTTACAAGAGTATTGGGATATTTTAAATAAGCGGTGTGGCACCGTTAAAGTCCAAAATTCATCTAAAGTCCACAACACCGCTAAAGTCCACAATAAATTTCCGTTAAAGTCCATAACGCCGCTAAAGTCCACAAACTTTCCGCTAAAGTCCACAAAATGACCTCCACTAAAGTCCACAAGAAAACGCCGTTAAAGTCCACAATAACAAGTTCCGCTAAAGTCCACAAAAAAACACCGTTAAAGTCCACACATTATTTTTTATTATAAAAAAATCAATTCCCCCCTTTTTTTTTATCCCGTTAGTACAATAAAAAGCATGGCCTTTTGTTCTTGGTAGTTATTTCTTTTATCAGTTTGATAAATGAAAAAAGTAAAGTTTCTGTAGAAGATTTTGTTCCATTAATTTGATCTTTGTATTCTGATGATCCAATCAGTGACTCAAACAGGCCAATTTGGACATCCTTTCTAAAAAGTTATCTAGTCATAGTAAATTCGTTAGTTATTACAAAATTACTGCATTCTTCAAGTACAGTAACTGGTTTTTTTTCCTTCTTATTCTTTGTATATAATCACTTTTGGACGTATCTAATATACATAGCAAACGTAAAGGGACATGTTATTGATAAATTGATTTTTTTTTTGCTGTTTAAAAACATGAGCACGTACCAGAAATTCTAAATATGAATCGATTTTGCTAGATTTAATTAAATTGTTAATAAACATAAGCACATGGACATGGGCCCCTCCAGCTATTTTTTCAACTTTTATATAGATTACCGATATAAAAGTAGAAAACATAGCTGGATAGTAAAACAGCACAAATAAGTAAAAATATCAGTATAGATGACCAGGAATAGGTAGATAAACGTTATTTATGTATAAGGCTTGGAATCAGAACTTTGGCAAAATATTGCCGCGTAAAATAGGGAGACGACAGGATACATCATCACGACTCCATGTAACTGCATGTGTAAATAAGAATACGTGGTATGAGTGCCAATGAGACTACTCTCTATCAAATATTTTGTATAAGTTATTGCTATCGGATTAACGTATTTAAAAACCTACATTACATACATAATTATCATAACAAGACTGGACACACTAAAATGTCTTCCCTGTTTTAGAGTTTATAATTGAATTTATTTGAAAGTGAAAAAAAGTTTTTACAACAAGCATTACATTAAATTTACAATTCAATGATCGATGAAAATGATGTCAAGGTGAGATAATTTTTTTTAGACAGACATGGAGGCCGTATAAATTCATCCCATGATATACCAAATTAATCCTTTCCCTTTCACACCGGTACAGCTTACCGGTGAAGCCAATTTTAAGATATTTTTTGTGCATTTAGTTTTGTTCCATCGCTGACGTACAGATGTGGATAAGGGCTCAAATTAATGGAAAAATGACAGACTAAGGAGTGGATTCCTCCTATATTTGCGTAAAAATCATGCATTTGGCAACAAAAACATATCATCTGAACACATAATTTCTAAAAGAAAACTAACTGGGTGAGGATCTTCATATGTTTTTTTTTTTTTTTTTTTACGTCTTGAGTAGTAGACTTAAGTACTTAAATTTCAATATATTCCTAACGATGCCAGTGGTGCAGCGGTATGTTGAATAACCCATGGCGGAAAGATCGCGTGTTCACTGCCGGAGGTGGAAAAACATAACTTATTATTTATTGACGTACAGATGTACAATTATCTTCAAAATTAAATTTCTGAAATATTTTACCAAACTTTCAATTTCAAAAAGAAAACCAACGAAATATTAATGTTTGTTTTTAAAAGAATGTGTGTGCCAAATTGCCCCCCACCCCTATTTTCCCCCATTTGCCCCATCGGGTTCGG